CGCATCCTGGAATGGGCACCCCGGTGCAGCTGCTACGCGCGGCGCCCCGGGGCCAAGAGCTGCGAGACATGCTCAGGGAAGCAGGCGGCCGCCCCCTGGACTCCCAGAAGGCGCGTGCCCTCCGGGTCACCATGATGCTCATGATAAGGGAGCCCAGGGCCTTCTTGTGGCCCTGTCCCCACGCCGAAGGCACGGGCGACGTCGTCGAGGCCGTGCTCGCTCGGCACCGGTGCTCCTTCGCAGGATGCGCACCTGGTGTTTCGGCAGCAATTTGCGGCAGCCTGGAATCTCTCGCTAGACGACTTCGTGGAGCTGCACGGGAGGATCGGAGACGCGCTCACCCAGATCTCGCGCCTGGTAACGAAGGCGGACCACCACGATGCGGCGAGGGCTGCAGGGTGTCCACAGTCCTGGAAGGTGACGGAGAAGGCTGACTTCAAGCTCAAGGCTCCAGTGATCGTCCTGGGAGAGATTGCACCCGCGGCCAAGCTGGCGCCCCTGGCAGGTTACAAGCGCTCCATATGCGCGCCACACACTGCCCGTGCAGGGGCCGAGACCGGCCTGGGAGAGGACAGAAGCGACGCCGCGTTGGGGTACATTGGGGGAGGCGCGGCCCTCTCCAAGACCGACCTGGCCTCGCCCATGCCAGCGGCTCCCGCGCCTGGCGCAATGCTGACCCCGTTGGCCATCAGCGATGACAGGCTGCAGGGCGAGCAGAAGAACGCGACCTTCACCTGCGATGGCTGCTCCAAGACCCGGCTGAAGTCTAACGACGGGACCTCGGAGGACGAAGCCGTCAGGGACCTCCTGGCCAGCAACAGACCTCAGGCCTCCCTGGGGGGGCAGAGCCTCACCTTGCTATGCGAGGCCTGCCCTCGACAGGAAGGGCATCCCGAGTCCAACGGGGGCGACCGTGGCCGCCAAGGTCCAGGACCACCTGGCCTGGCAAAGCGGGCGGTCATGCGACCCCACGGCCAGCTCGCCCCCTCGGCTCCCCAGCAACTGGCCCCTGGGCTACGGGCGCAGCCCTCTCTCTCGGGACCTCAGGACGCTGTCCGACCTCCCGATGGTCCCGCCGGCCCAGCGCCGCCCGAACATCGCCGACGCTACACTGCCAGCGAAACGGATCCTGGGCGGAAGGTTCGGCGGCGAGGCACACGCAAAGGGCCCATACTCCGCCCAGTGCGATGCATGCCCGCTTGGAGGCCCACTCCTGGCATGGAAGGTCGGCGCCCCTGCTCTCGGCTGCTTCATCTGGAAGGCCCAGACCGAGAAAGGAAGCACTGAGCGTGCAGGTCTTCCCGAGTGGTATCAGTGGCCACTCTCCTGGTTCGAGCGGAAATGGAACGCCACGTGGTGTTGCAGGAGGTGCCTGGTCTACATTTGGAACGTCCCACCAACAGCCCTGGACTGCGCCATGGACCGAGACTCCCGGACAGTCTACCCACAGCAGCCAACAGCTCGCCCGCGTCTTGCAGAGCAGGCAGACGGCGACGACGCCACGCCCGACTTGGCCACCCAGCTCGCACCAGGAGCAGCAGACGCAAACGCGCCCGATCCATGCGCCCGCAGCACGGGCTCAGCTGGCCCAGGGGAGAGCAGCAGCGGGCGCCACGGTGACGTGTCGCAACCGGACTCGCGCACCAAGGAGGCCCAGCATGTCTCGGTCTCCCACGTGCGGGACTACCACCCCACACTGGGCGGCTGCTGGACAGACCACGTAAAAGCGGAAGGCGCACAGCTCCCAGCACTGAAGGATCAGGAGACCTCCTGGCCCGCCCAGCTGACACCCTTCCCGGCCAGGATCTACGGCGTAGAAATACCGCGAGATGGTCGTCCTGGGGACTTCCCATGGAACGGCAAGAGACGGGCTGCAGCAAGAGTGGTCGGGCATCTGACGAGCAGCGCGAAGCACAAGGAGGCTTGGGCGGCGCACTGCGCGGGCCTGGCGCCCGACCAGGGCCTGAGCCCCTATCGCCGCGAGCTCACCGTCCTGGCCAGCTTCCAGGCGAGCCTGGATCCTGGAGCGCTCGCAGCTGCCTCCATCACAAAGCTCGCCGAACAAGACGCCCCTGCTGTGGGCCTGGACGAGGCGCACTCGGCGTTCCCAGGGGAGACCGCGAGGTCCTGGCTTGCACCGAAGACCGAGGAGACAGCACCAACAGGGACCGAGTCAACTGCGGACCCCAAGGCCCGACCCGATTGCATAGCCCAGCCGAAGGAGGCTGAACCCCCCACAGCAGGCGGTGCAGGACGTGCCAGCGACCCTTCCCGTCAAAGTGGCAGCGGACTCTCCAACGAACCCATCGCCGGCCGATGAGGCCGACAGCGATGAGGTCGATTTCGGCGACGAGGCCCGACCAGCGGCCTCGCCGCCGCCTGCCGAAGACGCAAAAGGTGCAGCCGAGCAGGAAGGTAGCTCCCCCCCACCTTCGTTCGACGCAGCTGGCGACGCGGGCGACGAGAGCCCTTTCGATGACCCCCTGGGCGTCTTCGGGCAAGCTGCGGCGGGCGGGGGCAGGGCCGAGCCCTCTAGCGGGGCGCCGGCTGAGGGTGCGCCCCGCAGGCCCTGACACGGCTCTGCTGAGGCTTGGGAAAGCAGCGGCTCGCACCGCAGACCAGACCCTGGAGGCCAAGCGGACGCAGGCGGCGCCCCTGGGGGAGGCAGAGCGCCGACAACTCCCGCGCGATATGGGCCCCCTGGGGACAGGAGACACAGCGGGGCCGCCAGCCATGCCCTCGACGATCTCGTCGACCCCGTGGACGGAGGCCGCGTGCACAAGGAACTGCTGGGAAACGTTGACCTCGACGGGGTCGGCGAGCACCCAGCAGCCAAGATCACGCGACTCCAGAAGGACCTGGGAGGCGCGTTCAACGGCGTCTGGCACGCATATGCCAGGAAACACCCTTCGGGACCTAAAGGAATGACGAAGGGCAGCCCTGCACTGAATTCCGAGGCCTCCTGCCGCAATTTCTTGGACGCCTGGCAGCGCTGTGGCTTCGACGCCTACGAGCTGGATCGGCAGCTCGAGCCAGGGGTCGACTGGGCCGAGGAGCGCGACGCATGGATGGGGCGTCAGGGCAAAGGCGGCCACCAGCCAAATGGCCGCGCGTCCAGCTCACAGCAGTCCTGGGACTGGGGCAGCTGGTCCTGGACACACTCCTGGGACTCCAAGCGTGGCGGCGACCACAGCGGCGACGGGAGAGGTGACGAGCGCTCCCGCACGCGGTGGTGATCCATCTGTCCCTAGGCAAACCAGTGGCCTTCAGCCACTTCCTGGAGGCGCTTTCTGCCCCCCACTTCTCCTCCTGTGTCGCCCCAGAGCACGCGTCCTTCAGCCGCCTTCCTGGCCGCGATACCTGAGTTGCAGTGACGGCGCGGGCAAGGGGCCCCAGATGGCGAAGGGCCACGCAGGCGGCCGCGCTCCCAGGAAGGGCAAGAGGCAGCGGAAGGTCGTCAGCTCTGGCACTGCGGGCGCGCCCGCCCTTGCTTCGCCCTTGTCGCAGCCCGCCGCGCCTGTGCGCTAAGGTCGCTGTGGCGTCTTTGCAGAAAGTGCAGCCTTCAGCTGCTTCCTGGTATCCTGGTTTGCCGACCAACAGTGGGCCACTCTGAAGGGGGGCGCCATGCCTTCCCTGCTCGGAGGACGGGCCCCGCAGCGGACAGGAGGCTTGCGGGGGTCGTTCACAGCGGCGACGGGCGAGGCGACATGCGTTCCCACGCATGGCGGTGCTCCATCTGCACTCGGCAAACCAGTGGCCTGCAGCCACTTCCCGGTAGCACCTTCTGCCCGGCACCCGCTGCCCCCCGCCGCCCTTGGGCCCCTGGCAGCTGCCTGATGACGCGTGGACTGCCGCTGGGGCCGTGGTCCATCTGTCTTAGCTGGCCCCTGGCCTTGCTGCAGTAGTTTTCACCGCCCTCGGCGCCTTCTACTCCCCGCGCCTTTCGGCAGTTGCCCCGCTCCGAGCTACCCCGCTCGCCGCGCGATGACGGCGCTGCCGCGCTCCGCCCTGGCCCCCCCTCCTCAGGCAGCCGGGCCCTGCTCCGCGTGCTCAACTTCCTGGTTGGCGCATGGGGCCCATCGAGTGCACGCGGTTCAACCTGTGCTCTCCTGGCCGTCGGCCGACTGCGTTGGCTGCGTTCACGGTTTACTGGCGGCGGTGTCCACGGCATTTGTGTTCAGTCGGCCTCGTGCCTGAGGCGTGCCCCTGCCCAGTTCCTGGTCAATTCTCCTCACGCGTCGTCGACCTTGTTCGGGAGTGCGCATGGTCTCCTCAGGAGCGAGTGTGCGACTTCGGTGGCGCCGCTCGTGCTGGCTCCTGGTCAATAACGCTTTCCTGGCCATCGGTGACAGCGGTACCTCCTGGGCGAGCAGCCCCCTTCAGGGGCTGGGTGCATGGGCGTCTCGTGTGGTTGATCCTGCGTCTAGTCCTCGCCCTCCGCGGCCACTTCCCAGCGTTGCGTACGACTTGGTGGCGCCACTTCCATGCATTAGGTTCCTGGTCAGTGAGTTATCCGTGGCCTTGCTGCTGTCTGCGGTCCTTCGTGATGGCGCTCCTGGCTTCATCCTGGCATCGCTCCCGCGCCATTTTGGCTGCGCCCCAAAATCGGCCGGCTAATTTGCATGTGCTCGCTCCTGGACCTGGTTCCTGGCAGCTGCAGCCCGCGCCGCCCGCCGTTTCTGGTGATCTGAGGTGCCGTTTATGCATCTGTTTGCTGGCGCGTTAGGCAATTAGGCTCCGCCCGTAGCCCGGGTCGACCCCTGACGCCGCCTGCGCCTTCGCTTTCGGCTGTATTGAGGCATCCTGCATGTTCTGGGCATCTGCTGATGGTATACGCTGGAGCTCCCGACCCCATGTAGCAATGCAGTGCAGTAGGTAGCATGTGGGTTGGCATAGGTAGGTAGCATCAGCAGCGTAGCATAGAGTGGATGAAGTTGGGCTGCAGCCCTCTTTGGCCCGTGCGCTGACAAGGGCCCGTGCGCATCCGCGCGCGCTCCGACATGGTAGCGGAGCTGCGGCATGCCTCCCAAGGCCCACCGCAGCTCCAGAGGACCTTCGCCAAGCGGCTCGGCAGCCGCATCCTCTTCCAGGTTGGGGGGCGCCCCTCCGCACCTGGCCAGCGCCCCCTGGCGCCGCCAGCCGCGGCCGCAGCGCCGCGCCCAGCCCGGTGGCGAGGGCCGCCCGTCTGCCCACGATACGGGCTGGAACGCGAGCGCGGCTCAGGAGCCGTCTCAGCGTCCCCGCGGAGAGCGTCGGAGCGTGGAGGCACAGGAGCTTCGCCACCGACGCCGGGTCACCAAGCTGATCCTCAGGCGCGACCCGGACACCTCAGAGGCTTTCGCGAGCAACCTGGAAGCGAGGCGCTACGCTGATCTGGGTATCAGCGTTGAGGACACGCCACTCCGGGAGGACAGGCAGCGAATCGCCACCGCCAGGTCTGAGCCGCTGCGGCGTGCCGCTGTGGAAGGCCGCCCGCACTTGGACCGGGTGGGCGAGCCGGGCCAATTCTCGGGCGAGCTGCTGGAGACCAGCAGCGAGCAGCACCAGGAAGTGGTGCGCCAGTTCTGTCTCGTGGAGCAGGCTGACATCTCGACGCTCGTTCGGCTTGCGCGAGACGAGGTAGAGCAGCTCGCGTCGATCCAGGAGAGGCGGGGCGAGCTCCCGGACGGCGCAGAGGCAGACAGCCTGCTCGGGGATGGCTAGACACTCTCCAAGGGTTAAGGGTACTTTCCCGTCAATGGGATGGGGTTATGTGAACCGACGGGGGGTTCCCATAAAAAGGGAAAAGATCCCTTAACTTAGGATTTTAGCACTGCGCGCTAAGAGCAATGACGAGATTTTAAACTTACTAATACGCATCTCAAACAACAGCCAAACAACGATGAACAATGCGAACACGAAAAAGCACAACAACTCACCGTCGATGGTAAACGACGCGGAAGTCCGCCCCCTGCTCGCCCCCCAACAAATAAAAGCAACACGCAATCAAATCCAACAATGGGTTCCCGCTGAATCGCGAGTTGGTCACACCAGGTTTGCATGTCCCTGCTTACAAGCCACATGACCACGTCCCATCGGGGCTGGTCGGCGTGAATTTATCACTTGCGCTCGCAGGTCGTGTGGCCGAGTCAACGCGTAGAGGGCTCGGTCGGAGTGGCTCGTCACAATGTCAGGATGTCTCAAGCGGTTGTCCTTCTATTTGCAAGCGTCGCAGCCAACCATATGCGAAGCTGAGACAATGTCCGAAATGACGGGTGGCATGGTGTGCGGATGTCTCAAGTGAAATGCCGAATCCACTGTTGGGGTCCTGGCGTTTCTTGGGGCACGGACCCACGGGAAGGGGTCAGCGCCCCGTTCTTCCACAACTCCCCCCCGAACAATGCCCGCTCGTGTCACTCACTGTTTGGGGTGCGCCTCCCCCCCCTCCTCCTCCTTCCTCCTCCGTAACCATTTCTGCCCAAACTCGTTTTGACCCAAACGGGCTTCGCACAATTGTGTTTCCTCAGTGTGCGTCGCAAGAATGGACGACGATGTCGTCGGCGACGAGGCCCCTGCGGAGGGCGCGGCCGTCGGCGGCGACGGCGTGGCTGCAGCGGCGGGCCGGCGGAGGCGTCGGGGCCGAGAGATCCTTCGCGGGCCCGACGGGCTCTGGTTCGTCTTCGGCGTGCGCGGCGGCCCGTTCGCCAGCGAGTATTCGGGAGCCGAGGGCGTCCGCTTTGAAGACGGACAGCATTGGCTGTTCGGCGCTGTCCTGGGCCACTGGGAGCTGATCCCCCTGCGGGATTCTGGGCGCTTCCCTGGTGAGCTCGATCAGCTCATTGTGCGAAGATCGTTGGCGGCACTGCGAGGTAAAGCTTGTCACGGTGTTCTGGTGCACAGAGCTGTAACATGCATCGAGTTGCTTGAGGCTCGCGCTTGCGACCCCGATGCAGTGAACCTGAATGTTGCCCTTGACGCACTGCAAGGGCAGATATGCATGTGCAGATCTTTGGAGGGAGATGCTGTGCGCGGGAGCTGGGATGAACACGTTGAGCAAATCCGTGTTGCGCATGGGGACATCACCATGTGCGGACCCGTTGTTCTATGTCCATCGTTCGCTGTGAGCCTGATGGGAATGATGCAAGTGTTGTTTTGCTGCGATGTGGTGACGAAGCGAATGAAACAAACCTTGAGGTTCGGGCCGCGGCCTTCTATCTTGAAAGTGTTCCGACGAGGGCATGCGGAGCACGTGCCTGCCCTGCCAGCCCTTGAGGCAGGCGTCGCGCCAGGAGTACGGCGCCACTCTGTAAATGCTTCTCTGGTCTTGGCGTGGCTGGATGCCAGTTGCACTCTGAGATCGCTCAGGCACGCCGCTAAAGGCGCGATCGCTTGGAGCAGGCTGTTCTCAGAGAGTGGACGGTTCGATCGTATCGAATTAAAGCGCAGCTTGAGATTGATCAGGTACGAGACCTTGCGCACGGCCAGGGTCAGAGCAGACTGGATTGCCATGCGCCTGACCAGACAACTATTCCTCACAATGAATTGGAATGAGGTTGACATCGACCTGTATGTTGATTCCAGTCCGCAAGGCAGAGGCTGGGAGATGCAAGCTGCCTCGTACCGTGTCCGCGTTGCAGGCCGAGAGTTTCTTTCCAGGATGTTTGCCCCAGTTCTTCTTATGAGAACTCAGCTTTCGGCACTTGCCAAGACTGCTGCGCTATTGTGGCAGATTCACTTGGTGTTTGGCGACAATGCAACTGTCATGCGCAAAGTTCTCGATCGCGTGCGTGGCGTGGTCTCCGATATGGGGACAGAATACATGGTCGCCAAAATGAACGACTGTCTGCCTGATTTTTATCAGTGTCTTGGCGCCAAGTTTGTGCTTGCCAGGCGACAGTTGTTGTTGCCGCGTGCCATTGTTATTCCTGGCTGGAGGCACAAGGTGGATAATCTTATCAGGTGCGGCTGTAATACCCTTGTGTGGTTCCCACGCTTTCTCGTGAGGATCAAGGCGTTGGCGCCGCTCTTCAGAGATGAGGTTCGTATTCATTCGAATCCACGCCACCCCCCAATTGCCAGCGTCTCCATCCTACCTCTTACGCCCCTCCTCCTCCCTCCTCCTACCTCCTGCCTTCCGCCGCCCCTTGAAAACGTTGGGAACCCTGGGGCCCATTCGCGGTGGCAGGCAGGAGATAGGAGGTAGGGTGTACGAAATAAGAGGTAGGAGCTCGGACGATGGTGCGAGGAAGGAGGAGGAGGTAGAAAGAACGAGTCAAGAGGTTGGCAGAAGTCTCGGAGGTAAACGGTGAGAGGCCGAAGGCAGGAGGTACGAGACAGGAGGGGAACAGACCAGACGAGGTGAGACGCACGGCGTGGGAGGTAGGAGTGGCATATGATGCAGACTGCAACTGGCATGCACCTCGAAGCTGGTAGGACGAAGGATCTCCGAGGCCAGTGGGAGGCGGGAGGGGGGAGTAGGAAGCAGGATGTAGGAGGTGGGATGAGGTTGGAGGCAGGAGGTAAGAAGTAGGAGTACGAAGTAGGAGTAGGAGGTGGGACATATAAAACTAGGTGCGTGCGTGCATGTGAATGAATATGCGCCCCAGGGTGCACGGCACACTTTAGAGACGCACTGGAGAGCACACGGACTGCATGGTCTAGCTGCTCTTGTGGGATCGGTGTCGAATGTGCCTAGTTTTGCGGAGTGGAGGTGGCAGAAACTTTATCATGTGCTGACCTGCTTGGGCGGTTTCATTTGGTCGGCCAGGGGCCACGTCACCAGAGCTGCATTTGGAGATGTTCGTGACAAAACCCGTCTGGATATAGTTCTTGGGGCCATGAGTTGTCAATCGTTCCCCTTCCAATTCCAAGTCATGATGTGGTTCAATTCGTGGCTCAATGATCTAATCCGTTTTGCAGGGTACTGCCCCTGCCATCGTCATCTGTGGGATTCTGGTGAGGCCATCAATTGCACTCGATCTGGTTGCGTGCTAGGCTTTGCTTTCGAGCACGGCATGTCCAAGTTGAGGGCTGGGCTGAACGAGGCCAATGCTTGGATGGAGGGCAGGTTCGGCCCCGACCAGCAACTGTTGCGCCAAGCCCAAGGCTTGGCGAGGAGCACGTTCGCCATCGGGTCCTTGAAGCTCAAATTCTTGAACGATCTACCTTACATCTTGGGGAGGTTGCATACGCCTGGCATGAAATCAAGATGCATTGACTTGTTCAATGCGCATCCGCAATGTTGCCATGATTCCGTGACCCTGGCCATCATGAGACCAGGGTCGCCATTGCGTGCTGCAGTAGATAACATCAACGAGAGGGGGGAAAACATCAGCCCTCAGCTGGAGGCAGAAATCGATTCCATTCGATTTGCACCTTGGGATGACACTGTTGCCGAGGGCCCCCATGCCGTGGCTAGGCACCACCACTTGCGAGCTCGGCGGGGCACCTTTCCTTGGATCGCCAGTTCCATCAGGCTCGAGAATAATCTTGAGGACATCCGTGGTTTCTGTAGCGCTTTAGACGTAAATCTTGACACGAACTGGGCCAACGCTAAGTCAGTGCTGCAACCGCCAAGGGCAGCTTCTACGCTCATGGCGCCATCTCGCCTGAAACGATCTCGAGCTATTGCCAGAACATACACGGCAACGCACTTGAGCTGCATGCGATATGGCATGGCAGCCCCCGCAAGTGCGCCTGGCTCTGGAGGCGGTGGCGATGACGGTGCAGGGCCGAGTGCAGGTGGACATGTTGACGGCGTGCTGAGTGACGCAGAACATGATGAGCCAGGTGGCCCAGAGGATGATGAGCCACACGATGGAGGAGGAGGAGGAGGAGGTAGCGGTGGCGGTGGCGGTGGTGCGCCACGGCGGGGTCCCAAGAAAAAGCACGTCGAAGGATTTGCTGTCGGAGAGGCGAGCTTGCTTGCATAATATCTGTCCAAATTGCTTGTGCAGTACGGCTACTATTCGTTCCAATGCCATGGTGACGATGAAGTTGACGAGCCTCCATGCGTGTACATGCAGGTGTTGAGCTTGAAGGTCCGCGCAAAACTTTTGCGCACTGTAAACACGCAAGCCAGCGACACGGACTCCTTCGTTATACATGTGCAATGTTTGGAGCGATGGGTTGGTAATCCATTGGAGTCCGATGTTGTGCACGCTTATCCTGTCCAGGATCCAGGGCCGTTCGATTTCTTTGAATTCATGGATGCGTCGTTTGAGTGTAGACAGAACTTGAAGGAATGGCAGGCAGTGCCAAGCGATATTGAAGGCTGCTTGGATTTATGTGATCCTCGGGTTGCAGCGCCTACTGGCTCCAGAGTGCAATGGCCCACGTTGTCTCTGTTGGACCATCTCGAGGCACTTGGGTGGACATCGTGTGCCCAAGTTGTTGCGTATGAGAAGTACGACGGAGCTGTGACATACGATTCTCGTAACATGCATGTTGGTAGGAAACATTACTTGCTAGCTCTGCTCTCGCTGGAGGCCCTTTTTGACAAGGGGGCCAAGCCTTTCAAATCATCTGAGCCCGATTCGTTTTTTCGATTGCTCCTCAAGGATCCATCCAAAGCAGTGCCAGGCGAGAAATCTGCCAGGCACATTGCCATTCTGAACTCCTTGGAAGGAGATGGCGAGCATGATGTTGCAGCAATCGTTGACATGCCTGCAAAAAAACTGAAAGTGGATGTTCCAGCTATTCTTGATGACGTGGTCGGGGACGAC